ATATACAATGTGATGAGAGATGTTAACTAGATAGACAAACGGTCTAGAATTAAGTGCTCGAGCATTGGAACATCAATAATTTAACTCAGAAATAGCTTCAGTAGTAAGAAAAACCCTAGCGTTCCAATATGCTCTGCTGTCAATAACAGAATGCAGTACTTTCGTCATAATCTTGCAAGTATGGGCAAAAAGAAACGTACAGGAAATAATACGCCCGGTAACTTGACCCAGCAGCCCTGCAGTAATTTTACGACAACTAGAAACCTCCCTAATGAACGCAAGGAAAACTGATATCTTATCTTCAGGAATAGACAATAAACCCCGGGCAAAATACCAATGAAAACCAAGTCAGCGAAGCAACTGAACCGGGATCCACATGCATTTATCCTTATTTGGAACGAACCCCGAGCTAATCAAATCAGAGTACACCAACAAAGATTGTCGAAGGCGAGTATTCTTTGAACCGCATACCCCTAAACCATCGTTTAAATAAACTAAAATGCGGATGGCCTGACTACACCAATGCTTGATGAGGGTAAGCATAACTTTGGTGAAAATGTAAGGGCCCTTAGAAAGACCAAAGAACAGAACGACAAACATAGAGGTAGTCAAGAATATAACTACGGAAAGAACGATCTTTATTAATAATGCATGGCCAAAAAATGGCAGATGGTCAATAAGCGACCACAAGAGCGCCTAGCACTTACATAATTTGAAATGCTCAATAACTTAGGTGACAAGGCTAACGGGAGGGACCAACCAACAGTTTTCACCTTCCCACCTATGACTTAGAGCATCTACATCCAAAGTGTTAGGACTGTAAAAGTGCGAATAGAACCTAGGCAACTTGGTATTTCAATAACTAGCAAAACAATCTACGGTGAAAGGACCCCATCGACAATAAATTTCACGAAAATTATCGTTGGAAACACACCATCTTACTGTAATAATCAGCTTTCTGATTAAGCGTACGGGGAATCCATTTCACTGACAACCCAATACCATGAGCAGAAGTAAAACAGAAAACATCCTTAGCAATGGCATTCAAATGCGGCNGACCCCATCGACAATAAATTTCACGAAAATAATCGTTGGAAACACACCAGTCGTCAAAATCAACGATCTTACTGTAATAATCAGCTTTCTGATTAAGCGTACAGGGAATCCATTTCACTGACAACCCAATACCATGAGCAGAAGTAAAACAGAAAATATCCTTAGCAATAGCATCCAAATGCGGATTATTGCTCCCAGAATCTGTAGTGAACGATACGGCTTTATTACCAGTATAAAGGTTAACAGAGGAATTATACAAAACGGGAGCAAGACTTTTTAATGCAAAACCGACAGACTTCAACTCTCACCAAGTGGAACTTTGCTTCATTTCAAGATCGTCAAAATTCTTGTGGGCAACAGGAAACCCCTCGACCTCAACATAAGTATAAGAAGCGCAAGCATCTTCACCAGCGTCGGAATATACAATGTGATGAGGAATATTAATTGGATAGACAAAAGGTCTAGAATTTAATTATATAAGTGCTCGAGCATTGGAACATCAATAACTTAACTCAAAAATAGCTTCAGTAGTGAGAAAAACCCTGGCGTTCCAATATGCTCTGTTGTCAATAACAGAATGCAGTAC